AATTGCTACCCTAGGCATACATATAATTTTACTTGTTATACTTGATGGCTAATATTTTTTATGATGAAAAATATAATATTCAATGAGTTTATTCTGATAGCAAGACAATGGCAGTAATAAATTTTCTGTAAAGTTTGAAAAAGTGGAAATTTAATCATCAAAGTTTTATTTGATACAGCCAAATGAAAAATAACAAATAAGTAAAAAAGTGCAAAAACCCACCTCAAGAAATTTGAAAAATGAAATTTTATTATTTCATTATTTTATTTATTTATTTAATCAGATGCTTGAACATTCTGAAGGTGAAATTATATCAATGCAATAATTGAACGATGTCAAACCTATGTCTTCAAATTTGAAATTAATTATTTATCTTGTGATGCAATAAAGTTGATTCATTTGATGTTTAATCTAAATGTATGAGGTATGGCACCAAAAAATGCCCTTTTTAAGCTAAAAAAAATGACAAGAAGAAGTTTTAAAACTGCAAAGACATTATAAAGTCTAGGATTTAGTTAAACCAAGTGAAATTTTCAATCCAAATTAAAATTGTATTTCATAAAAAATTTTGTTATGTTTGTATCTACCACAATATTATCTTATTCTATTTCAATAATCCTTCTATTACAATCATCATCCAAATGAAACTTCAAGTTACTTAATACATTAGCAACATGCATTCTTCACCTATATGGTAAAATTTGTTCATGTTTAACTGTTTCAAGTCTATGGCCATTTCTTTGTAGCCTCAAAAAACAACAAAATGTTGAAAGATTAGATCACATTGTATGCTTGTACTTGTACCGGATGTAAGCTTTGGATTTGCAAAATGACAATTTTAACCAAATTCATCCATAATAGTATGATTATGCTCCAAAATTTGCCATTATTTCTAATATAGTTATCATCATATATGTTTTAGTTTTTTGCTATTTATCATCTTCGAAATATTATTGCTTTTGAAAGGTACAACAGATTATAAGTTTCATAGTTATTTAAATGTATAAGTTTTGAAATTCAACAAAAAAAATTTAGACTAGGATATTAATAGTCATGATCAAGATTAGTTTTCAAATAAACGCTTGTCGTAATAATCCAATGAATATTAATACTCATAGTTGAGTATTATTATTTATTATTTTATTAATTTTTAAATTTCAACTATAAAAAATCTGATTATATTTTTATTTTGATCTGTTTGACTACATAAAAAAATTGACAATGTTTAAAGTAAATATAAATTTGACATATTGTTAATCTGAGATTTAAAAGATTTAGGTAGATCAATATTAATTTGCATATAACATTTGTAGTATTTAGAATTTAGGATTGATGGTAGTTATTATGAGTTTTCATGGAAACTCTAGAGAACTCAAAGCTGAAGTTTTATTTAAGTTCATATCATATGGTTTTTCAGTATCACATCAATATTCTAAAAGATTCAAATGCTTTCTAAATGTACTCGATTAAACATCCTTTCATACAATCTTCTCACACACCATTATACACAAATTTTTATCAACATTCCAAGATATTTCAAAAATCAAACTCTTCATTGTGAAAACAAAACCTCACACACATGACAATTTAGAATTGTTTTTGAGCTTTTTTCATCTTTCAGTTTAACTATCAGATATGAAATACTGAAAAGCCATATAATATGAACTTAAATAAAAGTCAGCTTGAAGATTACCAGAGACACAAGCTTAGACAAAAGTGAGTTTTAGAAGATGCACAAATTCATTAGGTATACAAATAACATCAAACAAAGGATTTTGGAATCTTTTGTATTAAAACTTCTGAATCTTGCTTTTTTCTTTTCAAATATAAAGATGACTTGCTTGTCAAGTCGTAGTTTGTGTACATCGCAGTTGTTGTTATTGTAGACTATTATTGTCACAAACTCAACCAATAATCAATCAATCACATATACGTCGCGCCAAAAAATTGTAAAAGTCATATCCCGCTTTTACAATCATTCATTTGACTTATTAGCCTATCAATCAATTTATTCATTGAAGTCATACTTGTTAGATGTTGTTGAAGTATTTGTTATTTTTTGGCAATGATCATATACTTTCAAAACTAAAAATTTCACTTGTTTTGTTTGAACTCAATCCAACTATCAGATTTTTTTCCTATGTTGAATAGAAATATCTTCTAACTTTCACACTTGAATTTGAATTCATTTGACCGAACAAAAAAGATAAGAAATATAAACATGATAGACAAAGTCAGAAATGTTTCTAGTTTGTTTGGTTAGGTTTTAGAAAGTTTGATATCATTTGTTGTAACTAAATCATAACGTTAATACATCCAACATACCTTATAAGCACTAAGTTGTGAGATGAGAGAAGAAGATTATGATACACTTTGTTGAGCTGCGCACATAATAATAATAACTATAATAATAATTTTAGTAGTAATACTGCTCTACGATTTTAATCTCTATAGTTGTCATTAAAACCAAAAATCAGACCTCTTATATAGTGACATTCTACATGATAAATTGATATTGTGTAACTAATTAAAATCAATCAAGATCCTAGTTAAACTATATTAAATTCGTAAAAATACAATCAATATTTAAAATGTATTAAAACTAAACATCTTACGTTAATAATGATGTATAATAGTGAAATTATATTATTAGTTTTTCAAACATTTTGTATCATGTGTATCAAGTGTTGTTTATATTCAACTGGAAAATTCTATAATTTTTCTAATTATAATTTTACGTATCGTATCTTTAACCAATTTTTTAGTAGCAGTATTTAAGAACAGTATAGTATAAAATTTTTACATTTTAACCTACAATGTTATTAGTCTCTTGATTTTCATAATATTTCGATTTTCAAAATATTATGGTTTTGCATTTCATTATTAGATTGAATTGTGTTAGATTGCAGACTTAGATAACCGATGTACTGTAATTCCCAGATACGATCGAGACGACCGAATAAGGATCCAGGTCTAAATGCACCTGTAACTCCTCGAGGGTGTACACCCTACACCATTCGACAGATATAGCGATTAGCCGATATAGTGGAGATGTGGGCTGTGACGCCAGTACTGTAGTGAATAACCCTCCGTTAATCGCGTTAGGTAGTAAGAGCAACAAAATTTGACGGTATGAATTACATGGGGCTTCAGCTTGGACCAGGAAGAAAGCAATCTTTTAGTGCAGTCGCGGCCTTTTGCCAAAAAAACCGAGCGAATACTGTTTGTTAACATCGTGGGGGTTTGTTCTGGCCATATAGGTCATGCTGTCATCTGCAATGTGCATTGCATGACTTGCTATGGGAGTCTACTGAAAATGTACCAAGGACATGACCATCTTTATGGGCGTCGATGGTGTACGTGTCTATAAATATGTTTCAAATCAGCGATAATGATTAAGATAACCTCGGCATAATACATTTCAGACTCTAGACGAGTCTGATATGGTGATTAATTAACAATAACCAACGTCACCCTTACCCTCATCCACTGCCACAGTCAAGTCTTCAACTTTGCAAGTCGTCGTCTTTCAAAGATTCTTGTCGAGAATAGACACTGTTACAGTCCCCTGTAATGCAACAATAAAAACACCGCATGCTTGTTCCTCCACTCCGGGTTCCGTTCTCTTCACGATTCACTCCGAAAATATGCATGATGTATAATTGACACGTCTTGCATAATCTTGCATAAACAAACACAGAATGCTCGACAGAGCGCGGTAGCACAGGTGCTCACAAAAAAGGAAGGGCTTTTGATTAATAAGCAGTACAAACCTGATGGCAGCTCAAGGAGTAGAATAGAATAGCTCCCTATCAACTATAACGGCTAAAAGATTTTCGATGTACGTGATGAAAACTCTACTTATGGAGATTTCAAACTAAAAGAGCTCATTGAGGCACGAGGGGTTTAAGTACTCAATCAGACCCAAAAGAGGAGGGCAGAAATGTCGACAAAACTGGAGCAGGATGTAGCCACACAAGTGGCCCAAGTCCTCGACGATCGCAACGGGCTAACGCCTCGAGGTGCAAACAGATTGAGGTCAGCTCAACTACCTCTTCAGTCCTGCCTGGAAACTACGACTTCAGTCCATGAGGTGCTACTATGTGCATTGTTACTCTGTGCTACGCAAGAAGAAGTTCCGAGCGTGACGGGGACCGTAAACCACAAACAGAGGCCCTCTGGCGCCCAGGTCCAATGTATACGCAACACATCAGTCCTGCAAAAGACAAAATAACAAAACTGACAACCGTTGACTTGATATAACGACGAGACCCTTCCCAAGCAAGAGCACAGGTGTTGAACCATCTTAGTAACAACCGTCGGACGTTCCCTAACATGGTCACATCCAAGATATGGCGATTCATACTCTACACCTACCATTCTGACTTTCTCTCTCCAGGAGGATGTTTATATAATATGAGAATAGCCCTTAATGTATTGTAGAGCATCTGAGTCCACGGCCAAAGCCCTGAAAATGACCGCGGGATGAGGGACCAGATTGCCTCTTCATTGTTGCACTTTGACCTTCTCTATCTTCCCTGTTATCTATAGCTTTAAATAACAGGGGGCTATAGTGTGCCTTACTTTATGATATTGGCGACTTTGCCATTAGAAGTATCATAGCAAAGTCGCCAGTATCATAAAGAGAATCTGCAAAATGACTTAATGTATTCAAGACTACTTCGATAAACACCAAATGGATCAGATAGCCTCATTTCCAACTAAATCAATCTCTGATGTGTAAGGATATACAGGAACGTCATAATCATAGCACTCCACAAAGAATGGCTTAGTGAAGTCAAACCTGCACGATATAATATTTCAAACTGATTAGAGAACTGATCAAGGATCTATGTAATTCGAATGTATCTCTTCAAAGACTTCTTCCCCGACACTCGTTGCACATGTTCTCTCAAGAATAAGCCATCTTCCCAGACTAGAGACAATCAACCACCTAGCACAAGACAGGTTAGGACTCAAAGTACAGATGCCGATCTACGGAGCTAAAATATTCTTCAAAGGGTCTAGCCCTGAATATAATGATAGTAAAGAATGGCAGAACTATCATAACTCAGACTACAAATGTTGGTACAATAGGAGCAATTCTACCCACATATCAGATGCGAAAAATTCTCAAATAAAAAAAACCTACTCATTTCGTAGCTTCCCAGAACGTAGAGGACATCAATACGTACGGTTTATGCCCTATATCTTTTTTTGTCCTGGGCTGAGGCCGATCCTTCTCATCATGTGAGCGAAAAGGATATGCTAAGGTTGTTTACAAGAGAAGGTACATAAATAAAACTAGCTGGATAATTTCTCCACCTAAGTACTGGGAATGGATCACGCTCTTTATCTTTCAAAGAGCATCACCATTTCACAATGGCTTGTATGCGGGAATAAGTCTACAGCCATGGCCTTCTTTGGGTTGAATGGTGTAGATGGAGGCATTTTCTTGATACGATTGCGCGCTAGGCCGACATTACTCAAACCTCTCCAATTTCCCCGGCCACTTCCCTTCTCGGTGCTGTTCTCTCGACTTAATGGTGTGCACAGTTCCACCGCGTTGGCTAACAAGCTTTGGGGATTGCACGATATATATCTGTCGATGCCAAGCGACAGACGCGTTAGTAACATTAAAAACCTGGTCATAATCAACCGTCAAATGTGTCTTCTTTCATATTGAGGTAATGCGACGTTATAAGTGCCAGTGATACTCACACAAGACGCCGTAACTGTGTGTGAAGTCGAAGAGTTTTCAGTACCTGTACGGTTGATAAGGATCAGAAAGGAACGGAATCAGCTCTAGAGATAATGGGACCAGATTGATTTGTACTTATATGTTCATAAATCATGAAATGAGGTCCATCATAATCTCCTCGTTCTTACAACAGGGTGAAGACCAACTCGTGGAGGATCAACTATCGCTACAATGTTCTTAAATCGTTTCTTGTCGCCTTTCTTCTCAACTGACTCGGCCTCATTTTCAGAATTCTCTTCTTCCCCTTCGGACGTAATATACTCCCTCAGCAGACTTTCCATCACATCTTCTGCCTGTGTGGTTAATGCAAATAAGAGCATATATCGGATCATTAAGGCCACACATGAACAAACAAAACCTTGCAAAACCTTCAGCAGGTATAATATCTCGACAAACTACTACTGTCAACCTTAGGTCATTGTCATGTAGCTTCTAGTTTGGTGTGAACTCAACAACCGCAGTACACACCAAAAGGGTGTATTTCGCACTATAATCATTAAGTTGTAGATGTTCAACTAAAACGCAGAGGGATAACAACGAAAGAGACCAACCTTGCTGGCAACAAAGCGGCAGTTGGTGATGTTATTAATTTCTGCATTCTGCTTAGCATCGGCAACCGCCGATTGATTCATCTCTATTCCCACAACCTAGCCACATACAATCGCTTGACACAGTTATTTCATGGCTCAACAGTCTTGCAAGATGACACGCAGAAAGAATGTTAACAAGAAATCTCGCACATAACGACGAACATATGGGCCATCCCGTCAAACACAAACTACTCAAAACAGACCAATGATTTCTGATGGAATTTGTGGTGTAGAGCAATATCGAAACCCCAAAGTACACTTTAATCCAGGAGACTGCCTAGAGGTAGGAATAATTGGTTAAACACTAGTAACAATACCATCCCAACTCGGTGAGCCAATGTCAAGCCAATTGTTCCAGTCCCACAGCAGACATCAAAAAGAAGCGTGTCTGGTGTCAGCTCCGCCCAGTCCCCTGCGAGACTGTAGAGTCTCTCGGCCGCCAGAGTGTTAACCTGCACACATGCCCGATACTCTTATCTATTGTATTTGCAGTTCTTCATACAGCAACCACCACACGAGTATGGGTTGCATGGAAAAGACTCAACTTGGACGAAAGCAGGTTGCTAAGCAAAGCCAAGCATGAGGTGAACCAACCTGGAAAAATGCGGTAGGAGAAATGCGGAACTTTAAGTTGCTAATATGATCGTGGATATAATTAACTGGTGCTTGTGCTTTAGGGTGCTCCCCAGGTATGGTCAAGGCGTGCAAAGGTGCATTAGCAGGGGCAGCATTTGACACGCCGGTATGATCCTGGAAACAAGTGAGCGACCTTAATTGTGTTAGAGCTTATTTGTCATATCAGAGGACTGAAACTGTCATTATCATTCTCTTTTCATGTCAAGAGTAAGAATAGTTTATGCAATGAACTGCGATCCAGTAAGTGAACCAGACCAAGAAACAAGAGTGAAGCGACCCACCTGAACAATCAGTGCTGTAAGAGGAAGAGGAGGCGAAGCAGCAGAAGATGCTAGTGACAGATGGTCCACCATCTTCTTGTACTCCACGTTCCTGGTTTCTTCATCAATGCCAGTCGGACAAACCTGCACTCAACGCGAGTGATAGCTGGTTAAGTGACACTTGTTCAAAAAGTACATATCTCGTATGAACATCCAAGAAACATCTCAAAAACACTGAAAGATATACAGACCTGCACCAACAGCATCACTTCGCTGACAGAAGGTTGTTCACCGGCATTCTTTTCAAGAGAACCACGACCTTCTCGAACCTGAACGAGCAATACTGTACTCTTATAAGTGGGGGTTCACATAATGCCTCAGATTTCTCAGTAGCTATGTGATGCTAATAGTAAAGCTTCATCAGATCAGTAGACATCATCAATGTACTTGATCTTTACTCACCGTGAGCATACGCCAGAAACCCTTGTTGTTCGTCTTATTCCAGACAGGTAAGTCGGAGATTTGGACAAACTTTTGGAAGACAGCGGCATATGAACGTGCTATACTTGAAACATTCCGACAGTCGGTCGGCTCTGCCACAGCTAGTATACCCTCCCTGTTTCAATGAGGAAGGCATGTTAAGTTGGCAGGACTTTCTACACAGGTCCAAGCGAGTTCTTACAACTATTCTGATCAGTACCTAGAATCCACTACAGAACATATCTGTCCAAATATTAACGAACCTGAAGGAACCTAGTTGAAAGCCTACGGCTCTGGTCCCGTCAACTGCGCAGCCGATACTGAACTCGCATTTGTTACGGTATCCATCGACAACTGGTGATGAAAGTACTCCTTCCAACGCACATGGCAGTCCTCCTATACAGACAGTAGTAGTTTAAATGCGATTGTTCGCTGGTTTGAGAGTTTAAACGCTAAAGTGTCCAAGCCATTTAGACAATTGGAAGTAGGTTCAGTATACAGGATACAAATAGTCTCCACGAGGGTATGAGACAAAGGGAGGGTGAATATATTATGGGCACCAAAATTCAAGTATTACCAGGACCAAATCTCGGCGAGGTGAAATTAGAATAGCTTGAAGAAGGGAAACCATGAAGACATGCGACAAGGAAAAACATACTACGAAAATTGAGAGCACTCATGGACATTCTGTATTCAGGTTCTGAACAATATGTTGGTGCCATGCAATAACAATTCGCTGTCGAATCTTACCATTATCCCTCGCGGCAATCATCCAGTCGGGCATCAATACTCCCGCAGGAAGTCCCTTTCGGGTATTACGAGCCTGCAAGAGGTATGGAGGTGAGTTTAGAACTTGGAGAAGAGACCAGGGGTTCTTAAATAGATCACTGCACACATAGTACTCTGCAAGAGCTTCTCAACTCTACAAAAGCAAGATATAGCCAGTTCAGATCAACATACAAGTCGCTTGAGGACTTGAGTAACGTCCTCTCTCTTGATATTAAGCTGCTCTTCGTAGGTCAGATGTCCTAGAGGAGTCACTGCATCGCATATGTTTTTAACTCGAATTGTGACTCCCGGCTTTGCAGCTTCCATCCCTTCGTCGTTGTCCGCATCAGCCATTACATCGTCCACAGCACTCACATTTTCAGCATTCCTTTCCCATGTACGCGGAAGGACATCTTTGACTTGCATCTTTCGACCACCTTCCTTGATGCTATCAAAAATCTGCTGGCCCCACGATGGGAATTCAGGCCCTACATATTCTTGACCCAAAAACTACCAATGAAGCCTCTCTCTCAAAAATCAATTTTCACACCTGGGCTTCAAATGACTACGCTCGCGATCCACTGTTACGGCGGGACCAGTATGGAATGACCGCATATGAAGAATATCGATATTCAGAATGAGATCAAGAGCAAGCGATCGAGATAACTCCGCTTTTGGTTAGGAGTGACATAAATTCCTCTAGAATTCCATTAAAAACCCTCATCGGAAAAAGGTCGCTCAAAATTGTGACAACTTAGTTACAGTCTTCAATGTCTACAATTTGAACAGCATTCAATATATATGCTATCCAAGATACTGAATCCCGAGAAGATAGCGTACATACCTTTATTGCGCTGGCCACCTGATCTTCATCCTGAAAACCAACAAAAGCTGTTCTATCTCCCCTCCTCTTTTTGGCAGTGACAAATGAGATATTCTGCAAAGAGTAGGAACAGAATGTTACTGAAAGAAGTACCCAAAAGATTGAAAGAAGGCAAAACCTGACTCTTGTTTTCTCGCTTCGGCGCCTGGCTTAAAACTTGAAGCCGCACTTGATTTGTATATTGAAACCCTGCGAATTCCAAAGCTTTGAACGACTTTACAATCCCTCTAAACAAGCTTGTTCCGTGCGAAATCATGAGCTCTACTCACTACCGGAGACGTAATAAATTGAACTAATTAAAGGCTCTATACAAATTCCGGAGCAATATCGTCGCTAGGGTTCAAGCCGCCGAAAGAGACAGAAGGCGAAACCGAAATTCATAAAGGAGATTTCTTGACAGACTTGTGAAAAAGTCAATAGAAGCGCAAATTATTCCAGTCATTACCATATCAGTCAAGAATTTTTTTAAATCATCATTAGACCACCGTGGCTGCACAGGCGTGATGCACTTCTTGATTGTAATTTCTGAAGAATCATCTTCAGCTGCCTCTTCAGCCACTGAAATTGGAGCAACAAGTTTAACTGCGGCGGGAACAGGTAGAGCGTCCCTGGCTAAACTCTTGGCAAAGTCAGAAGTGGGATCCCAGGAGCCATCAGGTCTAGGCTTAAGCTCAGCTTCACCGTGCGCATATCTGCACAAATCTCCGTGTCTACAGTTCCCCTTCCGGAAGTAGGAGCAGAGACTTGTTTTCATACGCGGCACATTTGCTACTACGCCAGATAAATCAGCTGGCAAGGCCTTGCTTGACATTTTCCCAACTTCGTCACTTTGCTCAGCAGCTGGGTTTGGTTCACTTGCAGCCGACACGCTACTCGATTTATCGTCCTGTCCTCCATGCTCAGTCTTGGGTTGTTTGGCAGGAGGCTCTTCAGCAATCGCAGGTTGGGAACGTGCTTCATCAGCTGCATTTGTTTCTTCTTCCACTTCGGGCTTCGATCTTTTGGACGATTTCCCTTCCCGCTTCCCCATTGTCGAAGCTCTGCGCAGCTTCTTCAGCTAGTGCAGGCAGTGTTAATCTGCACTGAGCGCCTACTTCGTTCGCCAGCTCTTTGATACTCTGAGGAAATCAACGTTCGGAAAAGATGTCTATAATTTCCCCCGTTCGGAGAAGATGCCTATGATTTTCCCTGTACCGCTGTACGCCGACCTGTGCGGCCACCGCGTTCATCAATTTCAAAACCTCAAAGCTATTCAGTGAAGGAGTATGCTCCGAAGGCATAAACCCCTACTAGGGGAGCGACGGAGCGCCGTCTTTCTCCCGCTGGTAGGAAGGCAGCAGGTGAAGTGTCTAGCCTAATTTCTCAAACCCTTCGCAATGTCCACAGTACAGTAACCTCTTGGGAACTGCGTCGTTGGCGCGGGCACGCAAGATACAAGGCATACGTCGGAATTTGAATGTCGTTCACTGCTCCTCAGCCTGCAGGGATCAAGAATGCACACTGCTTGTCACTGTCCGCGTCCTGAGGTGCAGAAGATAGTGCAGGTTGTCTCCCCAGGATTTTGTTCCAGGTAGTGGCAGAGTGTACACAGTGATAAGGCTTTTCTCCTGCTGACAATGAAGTGGTTTGAGTGTTCAATTTCTTACATATATTTTGTCGTTGGGCGGCAAAGAAGCGGCATTTGGTTCCTGTCTGATATTAGCGTTGCGGAAAAGATTTCCTTATCTGGAGGAATAGAGGATTTTATTCATGGACAAGTGTTTGCCAATTTTCCTTTCCTCCCTGTCATAGTTTTGCCAAATTTCTTTTTCTTGATGTTTCGCTCCCTCCTTTTCTCTCGCGTAGTTTTCCTCTGAGAAATTGCTTTGGTGGTTGCGATAATTTGAGAACGTTATGAGTAAACGAAATATTCTCACAACTGCGATGAGGGGTGTGATATAGGATGCATTCAATAACCCCGACAAGCTGTCGGGATTTGTCAAAGAAAATGCGGTCCGGACGTGTAATGAGGGCTTATCATTCTTGGGTAGGATATGTAGTTGACTGTTGTTCGATCGCATGATGATACTATGATAAATACATACAAAGCACATCGATTTCGAGATTGGAAGTGGAAATTGTGACCACAGATTGATACTCACTGACAAAAGTCCCTCAACACTCTTTATCATGAGCGATTCCGAACTGTCCAATACTTCATTGGTGAAGTAGTAAGTTCACAGTGATAATACGAGACGAATCTCTGAGTAAAGTTAAATGCGTACTTGAGCTCCCATCTACCTGCCAGCACTGACGAAATTTGCGCTATCTAGTGGCACTCACGACCCTTCTTAAACACAGGAGGATCGCATACTCGATGAAAGGCGAGAAGCTCACCTCACTGAAACAGGGATACTCAATCAAGTACATGACGATTTCCTGCTGGCAACGCCAAACGACAGATACTCGTTCGATTTGGCGTCTTCAGGCAAAAACCTGGAGGTTAAAGTATCCAAATTGAAGAGCCAGATACTACACAGGGGTCCACTAACAAAATCGAGCTTTCAGTCAAACTTTCTTCCGCAGAGTCGAGTAGACTCAGTATAGCGTATATTGTCATTATGACGGTTGCATCATGAAGCTCCATGATTGTAGACTACATTAAGCGATAATGCATTCGGGATGTTAGAATGAGCACTAAATACTCATATATTATCACAAGGGACATTTCACACTTTGGTCGTCAAGTTTTGAGCGTCCACGCGATGACGAAAATGAGCTTTCAGAACAAACTTTATCCGCAGAGCCAAGTGGCTCAGTATAGCGTATATTGTCTAAGTGACGTAGTGCATCACCAAGCTCAAGTTCTTCACGATGTCCACCTCAGTCTCGGAGCATCCGATGCACGAGTATAGAAATCGATTCTCATGTGTGCAATAGAGAGGTTTAGACAAAACGACCTACTTTTGACATTGTCACGACACCTAGATCGATAAGCCTGTCCTCCGAAACGCCATCGTGGCACAACAGAGCAATAGACAAATATCCTGTCACGAGATGACCTCCAGACACACCATTACATAACATGAGTCGTCAGGACGCACAATCTTGAACCAGACTTTTCAGTTCCGCGAAAAAACTCATTCCGCCCTCCATAATGACCTGATCAGATTTAACAATGACTTCAAGTAACAAGACCTAAACGACTACACTCAGCTTCATGGAGTTTTAAAAGTACACATCAGACATTACGGCTACGATTCAAACGAAGTGCGTAGAAACTGCCATAAGGAATGACTGAAGATCGAAATGGGTCTACTTTTGGATCCATATGATATAGTTTCATTTAATTCAGCAGGCATACAGAGGATCAAGAAAGCAGCGTGAGCTGGTGAGATGGAAATTAATGACCTGTTCGAATAACCTCGATTGAGAATTCGTCCTCGAACAAGCAAACTTTCAATTGACCTGTATGTCTACATATCTTCAACCCCACTGAAATTTGAGCTCCGGGGCTGCTACCTGCTTGTAATCAGTTAAGCTGGCTTCCAGGCTTTCTAGGCAGTCAAAATGACGGCACCACCGGCGTCCTTGATCTTCTTCTCGGCGAGCTTCGAGAAAAACTTGGCCTTGACGACCATAGGCTGAGTAGGAAGACCTCCCTTTCCGAGCACCTTGAAGTATCCGTGTTGAGTTACATCCAACAATGGAGCGGCGGATTCGCCGTTAGCCTTTGCCTTCACATCCTCGGGCACCAAAGACCACAACTTGTCGACGTTCACGATGGGGCAGTGGAACTTGTTCATAGTCTTGTGGAAATATCTCATACCGACCTTCCCGAAGTAACCAGGATGCCATTTGTCGAACAATATTCGGTGGTGGTGCATACCTCCGGCATTACCACGACCTCCAGGATGCTTCCTATGCTTGCCAACCCTTCCGTGACCAGCACTTACATGTCCTCTCTTCTTACGATTCTTTTTCAGTCTCGTCGTCATCTTGACTGCTGAAAATCACAACGACACCACACCCTCGACACGGATCGCGACGCTAGAGAGAAAGAGAGATACCAGGACTTCGACCACTCTCTTGACCGAAATCCCCATCCTCCCCTTCAGCTTTAGGGTTAGGGTTTACCCAAATCCCCTCGTTCAGATCGAAAGTGCTCGTTTATTCGAGACATCTCAACAGTCGACAACCTCTGGACCTTTTCTCCGACGGCAGTCTCTAAGTATACTGACTGCGCCGTCGACTTGGGGACGGCTGTATTAGTTTTACTTTTCAATGGGACTCCGAATACATGGTTTTGGGACGTTACCAGATATCTGCAAATGGTATCTTGACCGGTTACGTTCGAAACTATGTAAACTAGACAAGTGGTAACCCACTTTCCAGCTTGCGGCTGCGATCATCGAGACGTTCCTAATAAATTGCCAACACGTTTCAGCAACAAGCTTATCATTAAGACTGTATCTCTGGCCTGAGTGCCACTTCCATAAGACCGAAAGGGATGTTGGGATGCAATCTGAAATGTGGAAGATCGTTGGCAATAGTCGAAACAATAGTGCATAATCGAACAACTAGTACGCAATTTTTAGCAACTTCGCAAAACTATTTTGCGTGATTCTCCTTATTTTTGGTACATACCATGCTACATCAGCACGGGGTGCGGATAGCGAGACTACTGCATATGTAGTAACAGAGCTTCGTAACTACGTTACACAATGAGCCAGCTGACATTAAGCCTGTGCATGGATACATCATTACCGATTTGGCAATGTGGAGTCGTTAGAGCTTCGTGGTTCTAGGACAGGGTCTGCGGAAGAACCAAAGGACCACAAGAGTGCGTACATAAGTTGCCGTTTCGATTCATCCTTCGCGGTGAATTTCCGATTATTCCTGGCACTATTGGTTGGAGGCTCCTCTTCGAAAGCTCTCACATGCAACTTAACCTTTCTCGGTTAGCGTCAATATATCTCTTACAATAGAGCCGAAAGTTTCCAAAAGTATTGCAGTGCGATATTAACTATACCTTCTGGAGTATACAGTCCACTATGCAATAAGGCTCTGAGATCTGTTTCAAGGACACGGATTCAAGGATTCTTCCATTAAAACACGTTAAGATACTTCTTTTGTCTTCAAGAGTCCATGTCAATCTCTCTGACAGGGTATGGATGTTCCTTTCAATTTCCTCAGCTGAACTGTTACTCTGGCTTCATTGGATCTTTCCTGCAAGGTCCTCGTGCATCAAGATTACAGCCACTTCTATGGTCAAGTAAAACGCAGGGAAAATGAATCCAGAACATTAGGTGTCGCGACCGAAAGTATGAAGAGTGATAACAAGACTGAACACTAGAGGAAGAAAACAAGCCTAACAACTTCGATCTATCTAACCAGGCGGAAGTGAGCAGCAACTCAAGAGTAAAGCAAAGTTGGGAGTTGCAAGACTTCGTGTAACAAAAAACCGTCTTGATTGCAAAAGGAGTGGTCTCTTGTTCGAGTTCAACATCCGGACTTCGTTCGGCTGGCACACTTTGAAGTCGGTGGGAGTATCAGTGATAGAATGCGACAGATTATCTGCACTCAGATTACCCTGACCAAAATATCTGTAAAGCATCGTTGGTAAATACCACTTCCATCACCTATTAATACTTCTTAGACTGAAGATTCAGGTGCACCCATGACTAAAAAAACCTTCCTGAAAATTCTGCTGTATTAAGCTTCAACTTCATCTCAAGAGCTACGTTCACTTCTTGATCAAGCTCTCTACATTAGCGTCGTCTGATGTAGTGAATAGCCAGCCACTACAGGTGTAAAGTGGCTACTGTCAGATGATTCAAAACTCTAATCTAATGAAGTCCTCTCCTGTGAGGTGGGGTTGATTGCACGCAATATTCCTCATTTGAATCATCGTCGTCATCATCGTCAAGATCTCCACTCACCCAGTTGCGAAGATTCTTTCCCATGGTACCTTGTGTAATTGGTTGGGATTCACCTTCACAATTCATAAGAGGGGAGTCATGATGTATTCCAAGGGTGCAATAACAACTGCCAAGCTGTAAGTATAAACAAACTACAAATTCGAATCACCGCATGCATACAGCTTACAAAATTATTCCGCTCTCATGATCAGAGAAGAAACTAACCTGTCGGTGGTTCCCTTGTCGTTGTGGTTGGAAGAACCTGCTGGGGTGCAATTGGTCTCTGTTCTGATGTATCCCCACCTAGGAACTCCGATGGACGTCTTGCTGTATCGACGAGGTTTGCTTGTTGAGCTGCTCCTCTTCTCTCATACACTCTCGTCCCTGCTGTGCGGTTGTTCCCTCCTTGATTCTCTGATCTGATCTCGTTCTCAACGGGGACCGCTCTTGTAGCTGGTGAAGAATTTCCGGAGGCTTGATTTGATTGTTGTCGATGATATCTGAAACCAATTTCCTCACTACCATCTAAGCTGTTGCCCGGTTCAGCTGAACCCGTCCTTGCTGCTCTGCTTCTAAATTGGCTTACCCTTCCAGCACTCCCTGTAGTACCAGGGTATGCAATTTGTCTTATGCTTGAAAAATGCTTGCATAAACATAGGTACTAACTGAGGGAAATGTCACCAACTGAGCAGTGAACGATAAGAACATGTGGAAAAAAAACGTGGAGATCACAGAGTCTATCAAGTATTTGACTACTGAGCTGAACAATACACACCTGTAAGCTCAGACCAGATTACTGTGTGATCTGAATCAGGCACAGATCCTGGTGTAGATCCTCTTCTTCCGTTATTCATTCTCTGCGCTTGAGAAGTTGTCAAATTGCGCCCAGCAGCTTGCTGGGAGCCATTAACAGGTTGTACTTCTGCAGAACCGTCCGCTGTTCGAATTTGTGATGCCTGAACGGTGGCTAAAACCAGAGTGGCATCGAAGTCAGCATGAGCCGCGTCATCCAGGCCAAATCTTGGTGCAACCAGTATAGGACTACAGTTCACAAGATGTTGCTCGTTAGCTCCAACAGAAGGAAGAACAGGTTCTTTGCAAGGATAGGTTGTTGAAGCAGTTGAAGCAGGATGTTGTCTTGTACAAACATACACACACGCACAGAGAACACTCTTCTAGGAGAACTTACTGGCCAGCCTTTTCAAAAAACAGATGCATGTCAGCTTCGGACCCCTCGCAGAAAACAAGGAATGCCTGCACGAGGACCAATGTAATTCAAGCGTAATGTTAGAAGGTAGCCTTCAGATTTCACTCACTGCGCTGTTCCTTGAGACTGTCAAATTAAAGTCGTCAACGAAAACTTGTCCCATTTATATCAGCAGCTTCACCTTGAGCTCCTTCATACTGAAAGTCACATCGACGGCATCCCCAAAGTGAGAGTACTCTTTCAGTTCTTCCGCAGGGTCAATCCACAGTTGTGTGTGTAAAGTATCTTCGGTGCCTTCTGTAAAGAATGATATATTAGCAACTGAAGCAACACTAACCAAAATAACTAGAGCTCGAACTAAAGTCGGATCTTTGATGAAAAATTCCCAGAACCTCATTAGAATCTCCACCACCCCCCCCCCCCCCCCCCCCCCCCCCCCCCCAGACCACCAGGAAGAAGAGTATATGTCCCAGTACCTTTAACTGTATCGAAATAGCTTCTCAGTTCGACAGCTTTTGCTTCCGGTACCTCCGAGCCATTCGGGGTGGACACAGGCTCTGTTGCTATCAAGGTGATCTCTGACAGAGATGATTGAAAGTTGCTAAGAAGTCTGTTTAGGTCCCGAGGCTTCACAACCAAATGACTGGAAAGGGACTCTCGTGGGACAACAACATCTTGCATGTCGTCTTCCGCATTGCAGGATATCCAGTAAGTCTTTCTCATACCTGAATGCAAAGCACATGAATAATCGTTCACATACACTTCCGTACATTGAAAACAGGAACCAAGAACGACTAAGTGAGAAGATGTTGCAGCTGATCACTACAGATGAAAGTAATAGCATCACATTCATTCGTTCCATATAATCAACTGAGTTATGATGGCCAAAATACAATTCCAAATATTCCTCACCGTTGTGGCACTCCAGTGTCCACTGCAGTTTATTTGCATCCTGGTTGGGCAGGATCACCGCCAAGCGGTCTATGTTTCCAGGCGGTGTTCTAAATACTGTACAGACAGACTTTGGAGCATGCACATCAGTGTCGAACAAGGGATTCGGATTTTACAACACATAGGAGACGTAAAGAATCCAATAATATTAAAGATGTGAGATCAAACCTTTATATAACCAGGTTAATTAGCTGTCTGCTAGGTTATGAAGTCTTTTGAACACAAAGAGCTATTTCATCGGTTCGACTGCTCACCTTGAGCAAGACGCTGCATTGCATCACAGGCTCCGAAAGATTGTAAGCATCGATGAATTGCGGCTTGAATGTGATTGACAAAAATGACGACCGCGACGAATTCAGGGTTCGAAAAGTGAGCTGTACACAAACACTCTTTGACTAAGTCTCGAGAAGAAGGTCCAAAATAGAAACCTGTCATACCTACGATTCCGCTGATACAAGTACTTAAACAGTGATATGAAACAACTGCAGCGCAAGGCACAGGCAGGATACTGCCGTTACGCACCTTTTCTGTTTGAGCGTCTATAAGCAGCTCATTGCCGATCTTTGACATGCATATGATCGCCCGATTCAAGGTCTTGATCTGGTTCCCACTTAGAACGCATTCCATGACTCCTAGACTTGTAAGAGGCTACAATACAAAATTCTACAAAATTCTCCAAAGACTAAAACATTTTGGTCTAAGCTACTCGCTTACAGCCCCAATCTGCGAAAGTTTACACTGTGATTGGATATTCTTTCTACAAGTAAGGGGCTAATAGGCTCAGAGGCTAGACTAATCATGAGTCTTGAAATCATAAGGGATATCCACAATCAACGCCCCTCTGCTCTTCTCTGAACTTCTCGGCATAACCACTTCTTTAAAGATGAAAGAGTTATTTCCGCTTTTCTTCGCATGTCCAATCAATCAAACTTGGATACCCTCCAGTATACACTCAGAATGTCCTCGATAAAAAATAACTTATCCTCCTTCCGACCTCCTTCTGTGAAAGAGAACAATGGGACTTCAAAACCTCAAGATCAAACACCCCAGCTTAAATATTCTTCAGTCCACTGCAAATTTAGATCAATTGGAAGCGTTCAAACTCAGCCCTACACTCTGCAAAGGTTCAATCATGAACCGTAACTGAGATCAGATGTCTCGCTGGCGCTTGTCGTTATGAGTGCAATTTTTCAAATGGAAAAAGATTCGGTTGATCAGAGGATTTGAGCTGCTTCACTTCAGGACAGAATCAGAGGACTACCGCACTCTTAAGCTCTTACACTCTCAAATACTTTCATCACGTGCTGGGAATGACAAGGGTGGCAAAATGAACAGTTTAGTCGAAAAGTAGCATCAGTCATCAGAGAATCACTGAACTCATCAGAGAATTCCGTCCTGCTGGAAACTGGAATAGCGGAGATATCCTTCCTCGTGCCCGAAAACGAGTCCCCGTGTATTCTTTGTTTGAAAAGTGATTCCCTCGGAGCCCACGCGGAAGGGTACCGAGTAAAGTCCGCATATGGTCATGCTCTGCTCCTGAGCGGAACCAAGTGCTCAGTACTGTACTGGCAGGACATGGTTTCAGTGATTTGTGCTTATAAGTTTTGCATTCAATGAAGATATGACCGGAGACAAGACGTTGGTAGCAAGAACGCGGGAGCGACTGCAATAGCACGGGAGAATAAGACATACCACGGAACTTGACCGAGTTTGACTCTCCTAACTGCCATACTAAGTAATCTGCCCGATCTTCATCGATGTCCTGGTGATCCACTGTCATAGCTTTTTAGCGTTCGCATCCCATAAAATCAAAAACATGGAGCAATCTGAAACATAGAAGATCGGAAGAACCACTGAAACCGGACAAGTTAAAACCTAAGGGGTAATAGAGAATAAACACTCCAACAACTATGTCACTATCTGAATGAAACAATCTACAAATAGTGGAGCATTTGATATTGGATATATATATATGTATACGCTTGACTTTATATTATATTATAGAGTTTCAAATAGAACAATGGAAACATGTACTTTAAGAAAGATTATGCAATAGACTAGAAATAATAATACACTTGAGACGTAATATGGGAGGCTTTTGCAAATTCACTCACAAACATGTAAAATCCTAAACTTCAATGTCAACCTAAAACTGAAGTTAGAAAGATGTGAACTCTATGCATAGCCTTTAGTCTTTAAAACTTTAGTTATTATAATCTCATCTAAAAATAAACTAAAATCAGCTCTTTCGAAACTATGTGACATGTATAAATAACGATCACATCTGTAACCGTCCATTGGTCCTTCTAAACCAAATGTGCATAATCCTCGTTGAATGCAATACATATAAATTTCATATCCATGTGAATTATCTATCCCACATCACGAATGACATCATAGATAGTGCTACATTGCACCCTCAACGACGAATGTACTGCAGTCATTCAAGCGTCCTAAATATACAAAGGTGGATACTGGAATAAGGATATGACAATGAAGGCAGTGCAAAATGTTGTGTTGTGGGAAAAAGATTTGATGCAAATCATAAAATTCTTATGCATCATCAAACTTTGTGACTAAAGTATATCCAAGACTACATGTAAAGAATTCATTCTTCGAGCAACATGGATGCAAATATACCAGAAGTAAAATAATCTACAAAATAAAAACACAAAAATGCGACAGTGACCATTGAGAAAAAAATCTTATCAGTCACACATCTATTTCATCACATAAAAATGATAAATATTCAAATTTTTATCTCATATGTACTAAAATATAGATTAAGAATGATTATGATAAAACATATTTTAAAAAATCAAATTGATTTTTTATATCACAAAATTCTAGATGGGCATTATATCATCAGCTAGTGCATCGTCTAGATTTTGAAAGATTAAAATTCCTGATCCAACTTGCAATCTTAAAATTCAAGGTATGTCTCTCAATATCGTACATCTCTTTCAAGATGCAAATGAGTCATCAATTTTCAAGATTAATAATAGCTACAGTTCAAATCCTTGGGCATCAAGCTTACACCAAAAAAAAAAACTGATTACGATAAATATATATATGTAACTTGAGCTGTATCAAAACAAAAATTTAAAACTCGATGATTATTCATTATCATTCATGTTGAACCTGAAGTTATATGCATTTGAAATTGTATGTCTAACAGATTTTGAAACCTTTGCTCGCAAAAAGTCTCCATCTCACAAACTAAAGAGCACAATATCCTACAAAATATTGAAAACAAACTAATCAAATTAAGAGTGCATACGAATCATGATTTATATTTGGATCATACTTAATTTTTTATCAATATATTTCAAAAGAGGAATTTTATTTTATCAATTTTCATAGTGCATATATAAAAAATCTTATCAAATAATTTAATCGCATATAGAACTAAGAATTTATTTGAAACAAGGCAAAAAAATCAAAGAAATTTAAAATATTGTGTATCATGCATTGCTCTATATAACACCATGACGAATTCTGAGGCCTTATCTAGCTTAAAATTATACATGAACATATTTTTTCAGATATCATTTTATAAACTTGAAATATATATATGTTATAGCTCAGAGGTAAAAAAAAATTATCATGTTTCTAGTACAAATAATAGATTAAAATTTATTTTTTTATAATAATAGTTTAGTAGTCTTTGATTCTATAGTAAAATAATTTATTAAATAAAGATTAAAAATTACCAAGTAAAATTATTTTTTCATCAAACTTATAGATATAATTATTGTCACTTCCTTTTTGTATTAAGTTTGAAATTCAAATATATTATCATTTAAAAAATTCATATATCTATGTTTGATAATGCATTACTTGATTGATTGGTCTATTCAATCACTTTTGCATGAGTTGCAACACTTCAATCCATGTTTGGATCATTCACACTAATTTGTCGACACATGTTTTCACAAATCGCTTTAAATTGTAAATGCAAATTTTCAAAACAACAAGAAATGTCTTTTTATTTTGTTTATTTGGAAAAAATATTTGCTATGATCGAGTAGTTTCATCTGAAAATCATTTAAAAATATTGAATGCTCATGATCTATAATTTTTTTTCCTTTTTTCTATTTCTAGAAAACATTCTTCTTAAAATTGAAAAAAATAAAATTTCTTATGCTTGTGCAAAATTCTGATATTTTTCAGACTTGAAACTCAAAAAATCAATTCTTTATTGTAAAGCCACAATAAAAAATTTAATTATAAGCATCGAGATGAATAACTCATCATGCAACAGCCCAAAGAATTGCAACTCAATAAGACATTAATATATTCTTGGTTTAAGATTTGCGCATGAGCTAATGTGATCAATTTTGTAATAAAGTTACTTCAAAAATACTAACATGTTTTCATACTCTTTGGTCAATATTTTTTTAAAGCACTAATATTCATTAATTTTTGTATTTTCATAAATTTAAATAGAGTAAAAAAGATATATGCATTTTATGTTTGAATTGACATAAATAAAACCTAAAGAAAAGTAATATCCAAATCAAAATTTATAACAAAATTAAGAAACTCATAGGATATGCATTATTATGAAACTTCGTTAGTCAATTTAAACAGCAACACATCATATCCGGTCGTTGATTTTCTTCTCAGCTTAACAAATCTTACATCACAATTTCAATACAAAATACAGATATCAGCAACTCCCAAAAGTATATATTAGTCATTTGTTCCAGTAATATCTACCTTCATTAATATATAGGTCAAAATATACAGCTTGGGTTATTTGAGATACAAGTTCATCAAGTCTGCCAATTTTGTTGCTCTTGAAAAAGGCCAAGATAAGAAAAATAAGTCCAATATAGAAGATAAAGATTTGGTCTCCATTTATGAGATGCACTGAGCAAGATCTACATAATTGGATTACATTATGTACTACTCCAAGAGCTTGTTAATAGTACACCGGGATTTAGTATTTGAGATATAAGTCTTTGGCAACAAAGTTTTCTAGTAGAAGGACTTGAAAACCAAAAATTGGAAGAACACGTGCTATCTAATCAGATACAAACAATTGTTGTATATGTGGAGTTTGACAAAGCGAGAATGTTGTATAAATCATATGAAGATGTTCAGGATCTTAAGAGCGTTACAACTGGGTTAAATAATGACACAAGGTTTATCCATGTGTTGAAGGGTTGCTTATGGCTTAACATGAGTCAGTTCATGACAATTGATGCCTTCCAACAAGAGATAAGAACCTTAGATTGGTCAAGATTAGATTGGAACAAACATTACATTGTATCACAATCTAATTCATCTTGTGCATTTAAATTAAGTAAGCATATCAAGACGAGGTTAGATCGCTGCAGTAGTTTAGATATTGTTTTCAATAATTTTATTTAACCTATTCTAAACTTGTGCGCGTTTCATTTCTTTAGGCTTGATCAAATTTCAAGGGTATCGTTTAGAAATTATGATCAGATTATCTATACAAAGCTTACCCAGACTAAGAATCCTGTAAAGCATCGATGGTAAATATCACTTCCACCACCTGTTAACGCTTCTTAGAATGAGGACTCAGCTGCAGCCTTGATTAAGAACCTCTTCATGAATATTCTGCTGTATTTATGAAGCTTCAACTTCATTGGCTTCTTGATTAAGCTCTCCACATTTGCTTTCTCTGATGTAGTGGATAGCCAGCCACAACAGGTGGAAAGTGACTACTGTCAGATTACTCCATACAGACTGTGATATAATGTAGCCCTCTCCTCTCCTCTCCTGTGATGGGGTTGAATGCACACAACATCCTCATTTGAACCTCGTCGTCATCGTTAAGATCTTCACTCACAAAGTTGAGAAGATTCTTTGCCATGGTACCTTGTGTCACTCGTTGCAGCTTCACAAATCGTAACAGGGGAATCATTATGTATTTCCAAAGGTGGAAACAACTGCCAAACTGTGTGTATGAAGGAACTACACAACAAAGATAAGAAAGCACATCTGGTGCTTTAAGAAAAGAAAGCATTTCAAGATCGCTGCAGTAGATCAAATTCCAAGCATGAATTTGTTATGCATGTTATGGTCGACCACAAGAAAGCATATGCAAAAACATACAGCAAGCTTTCATACAAAGTTCAAGATGTTATGGGACACAAAAGGTAGGAGAGTCACCGTAGAACACTGACTTTCATTCCAATAGTCTATGTTATATCATAAGTTCACTTATGCATGATAAAATCATCGAGAATCAAATCAAATTGATTCACATATTTAACCATATTGCACATGAAGTGATTTGATCAGAAATATACCTTAAGATGATACAAGTCCGGCCAAAAAATGATTTTTAAGGCTTGGTCATTAGTTAAAACAGAAGAAATTTGCCTCTTCTCTATACAAGGTTGACAAAGTTAGAGAAAATTAGTTCTAGACATATTATTATGGACAAGTGCTGGTTAAGTTTCAAGCTTGTACTTCAAAAAATTTTTTTAATACATGTATCATACACTTTACACACTTTGTTTTTCTTCAAACTACTAAATCAACTAGAAAGTCTAGATGGAGCCACAAATCTTCACATAGCATGTTATCATGACATTTGCATATGTTCCAGTACGCTAACTTTTTGTTGCTCCCACTGTGATTGACAAGATGTGTTATTGATTTTTCTATGATAATTATCTGGTATCATCTCTTATATCGATTTTGAACACTTATAATTCTTAAAGCCATGAAATACATTGTTCTAAAAAGAAGAGGAAAGAAATATTTGTGCAGTGAAGAAATAATCTTATCAGAACATTCTAGCATGATCCGATTGATACAAAGGTTATTTAAGACTAAAGTTTTATAATATCAAAAATATATTAAAAAATTATAAAATTTTATTTCAGTGTATTCTAAAATTATTAAGTATAGTAAATACCCTAAAATTAAAATTTAGAATATAGTATAAAAAGAAGGAATCAAATGTAACTTATTTCACTAGATATTTTCAAAAAATGTTAAAACCAAACACAACATGCACAAATGTATCTGCATTTCTCATAAACATTCATCAATTAAAAAAATTTAGATAATTTTCCTAGTGCTAAAAAAATAGGCTGGTTGTAGCAACATCATTCTTTAGGTTAAGAAATTTTTTAAAATTTTTTTTGGAAAAAATTTGAATAGCGACAAGTAAAATTGTGTAAAGTTTAAAGAAGAAAAGCTCAAGCTTATTATCCAGTTTATAAAGAGTTTTTTGACTAGTATTTAATTTTGGAACCTGTGTTAAAGTGTATACAATTTAGTATCCTTATATAAATGATTTTAGGTTTGTGATGCTCTGGGCGAAGTTATTAGTTGATATGGATTATATTCATTTGTAATTTCATGGAGACAAAATTGATAAATTTCAGTTTTTTAAAAATATCAAAAGAAAAATTAAAAACTTACAAGTTAACTCTATGAGAGATCATTCCTATATATCTATCTATATATATGTATATATAGAATTAATATTATTATTACAAGCAAGAAAAAATGTTCAGGTACATGTTGAAACGCTTTGCAAAAGTAACGACAGCAATTGATGTAAAGTCATGTAAAGAAAATTAGCTGGATGCATTATGCACTGCATAGAGTTTTAGTACCTACTAAGGCCACGAAAATACCTACGCGCCTCTATTGACGACTGTAGCTGTACATTTAATATTAAACTGTACGACTAGAAGATACAGTAGTAAAGCTATTGGCTACTGAAAATCACACAAGTGTGTGAAACAAGTACATTCATCATCATCCACAAATTTCAGCTAGCCTGCGGAGTACAGTACTGATGATGACTAGTATGTGAAAAGAAAAAACACAAAACTATACAAAGTGATTCATTTCCCAGCATCTAGGAACAAGGACTATATATGTTCTGCAAGAGAAGGCGGCTGTTGTTGGCGAAGGGACTTCGACTGGGATCTATAGGATCCCAGTCATATAAAAGAACTTCTTCAAACCCTGCATATGCTGTAGATCCAGTGTGGTCCATAGCAAAATATAGCTTTACCTTATTTCGTCGCATATGTTGTGATGATTTTTGCTAGATATGCCCCATGATTGTTCATGCTACTCTAATTTGAAGACGATTCGAACGACCCAATGATGGAACTGTCTACGCGAATCGGGAATTAAAGCGATCAATGCTCTAAAATTTCGCATGGTCACGGAGCCCAACAACGTCGAGACACTTCACCCTACAAATGGTATCTTCAAATTACTTACTCCTTCAGAACTTTTTTCCAAAGTATTTGTAGTCAGAGAAGGTTACACCTGACATCAGCGAAGCCAGCTGATGTCTGGCTTGGTTTCCAGCAAGACGCACCTAATGCGTTCATCAATAGACAGCTGATAAAGCTTTGTGATCTTATTGCGGCTGAAGTTGCAGATTTCTGGAGACTCTGCTTACGCTTTGATCAAAGCTCTGGAAAATCTACACAATCTCCAAATTTATGGCATCGACCAACCTTTGAGATCATTGATCGATATACCGCAACAAGGTATAGAAGATTAAGTTTTGAGAATTGAAAAGTTGATCAAGCATAACCACAAAGAACTCTTATGTCATCAAGTACAGGTGGTTAAGATCCCCAAATTTCGCACTGATTGCTGATTCTTGTTAGAGGAAAGAAGATTCAGGAAGAGGAGAACAGCATGGTATTTGGTCACCGGAAGATGGTTTTCTTTTCGTTCCTTTCGAGGATCGAAAAGCTTTATGACAGCACCCTGTATCCTTTGAAAGTCGGAACCACCAATATTAAGATCGTAAATGGTAAAATTCGTAAAAGATCTAGAATGTGAATCTAGAATCTAACTACACAGAGGCATGAAGGTAGGTAGGCAGAAGATAGCTACAGCATGAGCAACCTCGACGCGTACGCAATGTCGTACGTTTTAGATAAAAGGGTATCGCATCCGCTTATAGAAGTGCAAAGAAGATGCCGCGAGGTTCATATTCATGTGTGTACACGCAGAAGGAACTTAGGACCTTGAAGTTTGAATCGGACGTTGACACTGGTTTTGTAAGCTAACAAGCCCACTGATCTACAGTCAGTTGAGGAATAGCAGCTTCGAGAGATCAGCACATTAATTAATATCTTGTGTTCAAGGACTTGGGTGGAACGGAGTGTCCATTGCTAGGATAAGTAGTGGTTCAAACACAGAGGAAGCTCAAATAATACATCTGCCATGTCTACTTAGAAGCGGAGATCAAAATCTTAATCCTCATTGCCTCTGTCCAATTGATCTTCTATCTAGGCTGCTGTTTCAGTACGTCCAGTGTCTAACACTCATCAAAATTTAGCTCCACAGTGAAGGCAGAAAGAATGAAATTTATGCCCTATATAAGTGTGTTCATGTAAGCCTAATTACTAACTGTTGTTTCTGTCGAATTTTGCTGCGACTCAGACCAAACCGGCAGAATTTTGAGCACATGTAGTCTTGAACTTCCTAAACAAAGAGCAACATGTAGTCAGGTCATTCAAGACTTCATTGACATAAAATCTGTTACTGCCAACTTAAGAATGACATCTACTTCCAAATCAATGCAAGTTCAAAGGATTGTGGGCAAAAGATTTGTTGCCCCTGTTCTAACGAGTATGGTTCGTAGGACTAATAAAGGCGCTTTGCGACAACATTTCTTGACGGGCTTGTCAGTAACAAGTTAAATGCTGTATACACATAGCGTTTGTTAAAGAAACGACTGTCAGACAAAAAAGCATGCCAACGTTGTCCGTGGAAGAATGCCTTTGCGGTCTGAAAGACATGGAAATTATACAACTAACATTTTTTTTGGTATACCTTTGTGAAGATGACTACTGCTGCTGCGCTTGTTGAATATTAAAGTGAAACAGATGGACTGCCAGAAGTGACCAATTTTGAAAAGCTGTCTGCTGTATCAGATCATGCATGGGATCGGAAAAATCTCTTGCATTCGTCAACTTGACTGAAGCTGCTCATTCATATTTCAACCTCAGCTGAAATATGCGAAAGCGACGCAGAAATTAGGGACAGGGTTAAGAATGCTGAACTTCATGGAACTTGCGCGGTATTTACCTGACGTTATATTCAGTGCTTAGATAGATTTGGTCATTTGTGATGAAGAGACTCTTTATCTCTGCTGTAACGAGCGATAACCCGTACGACCGAATTGATGTACCAATAAGACAATCACTCATTTCACATGTAGGGCCAACTGCTTGATTAACTGTTGCAAGTCGGTGCGACGGTTCATATCCTCGCTTGCATCATGTTAGCTGGCCTAGGCAGCTACTATGGCGCGTAGCTAACGAGGTGCAGATAAAGTTCATCATTTCTTTAACTGATCATGCGGTGAGATCCGATGTCCTCTTTTACAGAGTGCTGCTGTCTTGCATTGGGTGCTGGGAAGAAATCATGCTAACAAGGGTCTACGAGTTGAGGTGGTGGTAATTTTGCAGGTTGAAACTGCTCGAGGTTAGCGGGGCCTCCCTTGCATTTGCGTACGTTTCGAATTTAATACTAAGTTAAACTCCTGTCTTGGGTCATAAATTGACGTTTGGATATGGTTCGTGAATTCCGGACCCGATGCGAGTTCACACGTATACTTCACAGTAAGAACCGAATTTTAGGTAGCACACAATCATCGTTGTCTACAAATCCTGCCTACACTCACCATCGGATACAAGTCGTCATCCGTGAATGTGTGATTCGGACGGCCGCGCTCAAAAGTCTTGGTAGATGACGAGCCAATTAGTGTTGCGTGACATTTTTGAGGCTGTGAAAAGAAGGCACGTCCCTTCGGCCAACTGGCAAAGTAGCCTTACTCGCTACTTGAAAAAGTTCTTATGTAGAGGGTCGCCACGGAGATAATATATCGTCTTCGTCCTTGACGTGATCTTCTAAACTACGCATAGAAGCCATAACAAACAGTCATTGCGATGTATGAGCTTCTGGGAGACAGACAACGAACAAGCCTTCCTTTTTTGTCACCAGTAGCTGGCTACTACACACCCGGCTTGTCGAAACTTCGGAATAACTCAAAAGACACCCACGTGTTTTCGGAGCAAATAGTAAAGACAACTGTTTTCTTGTCTAAATAAAGAAAGCATGGCTCTCGTAATAAAGATCCACGTTTTATTCCGTCAACACTTCACTCACCAGGAAATAGATACTTACATCTACAGAAATACAAAGGCTGCTTCGAAATGTTACATCTGTACTCAACTTGCTTCAATAGATCGATACTTATTACATTACATACAACACTCTTCAGTCTGGACGCACAAGGTCCCGCACTCGAGAAATGCCGAAGCTCAAAAACATTGCACTCTTCGCGGACTTCAACCTTGCTGTCAAGCATGTTAATCCATGTCTGTGATACAACTCATCTCCCAATCGAATGAATTTATCTCCACTATACGAGCACGAAACCCGCAGGGAGAGCAACATGCTCATGGTGCAACTTTGATCGCCATCTTGACGCCAATGTCGCAGTGGTCGCCGTAAGCGTCAACAAAGTACATCCAGCCAGGTTTCGTCAGTTCGATTCTGGTATCTCCGTCCTCGTACTCCTCAACGGGGTCGCTCATATCACACTTGTCGAATGCTTCCCGACTTTTGAGCAGAGTCAATGTGTGCTCACCAATCGTGTACCTAAACTCTGCATGTGCGTCATACAGATGTAAGCACAGTCTCACAAGAGTCAAGAGGTTCTGACAATTCATACCAATTCGCAGCATAAGCATGACGAAGTGCAGTTTCAAATCACTGGGCTGAGTACATGACTCGATGAACCTAGTACATGGAGCAAACTCCATGAGACACACTATACACTGAGAAACAAACTGAGAGAGAAAGTATATGAATCGTCAGAAATATTGTCGGCCCGCAGTCTAAATTACTGTTCTGACTCCACGTGGACAGTATTTGAATAGAAGGAGCACAAAGAAGCTTGCAGCAGTTGAGCAGGATAGCGATGAGCTAGACATAAAAAACGGTGACATCCCAATGGTCAACGTCAAGGGGAGACGACTGTTGTAAGCAATTACATGCATCAAATGTTACGTTATCTGAGAATTCTTGTTCTCTCACCATCATCTACCTAAAGTAGTGGATGGATCCACTATGACCTTGCAGTGTGCACTTTTCTGGTCGCCAAGCAAGTACAAGTTTATGAGGGATGTCTGCACGGTCTCCATAACAGCATTATGCAGATTTGGGCAAAATGCGAACTTTGAAGGACATACTGTATCTATTTCAAATTCCAGCGCTGCACACGAGCCTTCCAAGCCCAGTCCGAGAAGCCCATCTGATTTCGGAGTTGTTCTACATTGTCGACAACACAATTGGTGTCCATGGACGAAATATATACCGGAACAAACGACTGCGACAAAGTGATCGAGCTAACAATTACCTAGGATGTCGCCCACACGCACAGGGACCTCATTACCCCAGCTCTTATAGTCGTACCCAACTCTCCATCCTGCATCGCCTCCGACCACCAAATCCTGATGGAAAAGCTGATACGGGAAGGCATTACTGAAACCAATGAACATCATGACAACAAGCACTGCAGAGCTCATCTTCCGCCACGACTCCATCCTTCAACAATTTCGGAAATCCACTCCCAACTCAATTCCGAAGCGACTAGAGAATATTGAAACTGAAAGACTTCCCGAGCTCGTCTGCAGAGATTTTAGAGCAGCGAGCAAAGAGCAAACAAGACACCTACTATGAACACGCGAAGAAACACGGGGATGTGAACAACTGCTTGCGATGACGGGCAACTATAGCTTCAGCACCACTCTGGCTATTTCAAGCAAATCTGTCTCATGAACTTTGTCGCATTAAGATCTTGCGAGTAGCACGGCATGACTCGAGCTCCGTCATGCCAAAAAAGGACGAGTGCCTTCGTCTTGAGCGAGAGAGGTAAGTGGTGATGGGCCCTGAAGGCGTCGACTTCGACTTGCTGCCTAACGTTCATTTGATACTCATCTTGTCCAGTCCGTGTTCGCGAAACATCGTTGCCAATGCACGTGGTTGACGTGGCCCAGGCGAAGGGCATGGCTCGACGATCTCAGCGTGTCCCTTCGATTTTCTCGGTGGCTGCCTCCAGATTAGGGAGGACTTCCCGTATTTGGCTGCTATCTATTCTTGTGGATGTGATGTTTCGCGATGTTCGGCTGCCGGTTCCTGCAGTGGGCAATGGGAGCACTCCTGTTATTGGGCTCACTAAATCAACTTATTCTCCATAAGCTCCTCTTACGGTGCAAACTCGCGGCGCTCCTTCCTCATTGGGTCTGACCTTGCGTCTGCAAGGCACAAGTCTCCGCTAAATGTTGCGCCGGGCTGTTTGTGGTTGGAGGTTTGGCGGACCTCTATCGTGATTTGGAAAGTCAACTGTTGCTGGCATGAGATCTTTGAAGGCGGCCAAAGATATAGTCTCCGTTTTAAGATTCTACGCGGGTAAACATTTATGAATGTAAGATCATGTAGACGTAGTTGTTTGTAGTTTTGAGGATGTATGAAAGTTCATTTCCTTGGTATGATTGAGATAATTAAATTTGTAGAGAAAAGTGGATATTTTTTGTAAATAGGAACAATCATACTAATCGGTGACATAGTAATGTTATTACTTTGATTGCTGTATTTGTGGCACAATATCACTAGGATGTAAGATTTGGTTGGTCTTTAATTTATTATCATCCTTTTCTGTACTTATACATGATTCAGATTCTTTTGTGGACAATTAGTGTATATTATATTTGACAGGTGTACTCTCACTCCATACAATCATCACATGCGCTGTCATGGACGGAGTCTTTTCTCACGATAGCAATGAATTATATGGACCGGTTTCGTTAGTCATCGAATACAATATCATATGAGCAGCATCATGCTACTATTATGAATTAATATACACTTCAATATCTGATTAATCTTTGCATGAATTTGGTTTGTATCACATGCAATATATATATATATATATACATACATAGGAATGATTACAAATTACATAGAACAACACACAAATTACTTTTTGGCAAGTGATATATATACATGACATAGGATTTGAGAGAAAGTGGATGATATCTTCTCCGTTTCTAGATTTCTCACGCAACCTGTTCTTAATATGGTATTACGTCCAGTGATTAAACTAGGCAAAATTGATATTGTGAGGTGTCTGAACTTGTTGAATTTGAAATACTAATATATGTTCTTTGTACATGCATATAAAATATCTAATTAATCATTTAAAATTATCTTTTCTTTACATTTTTCCATATAAAAACACGCACAAATATTTTATTTGAGAGTTAACTTTTACATAAAAAATTTGCATGATTTTTCTTATATCATTTATATTATGAATGAAAGATTTTTTTATTTGATATGAATTATATTATAGAAATTTTTTACATTTTTAGTTTATTCGAATAAATTTAAACTTAAATTAAATATATCATAATGATAAGTTTTAGTTATTGAATTAATAAATTATAATTATATGTCAAATTTTTTTATTCAATATTGAAATGCAAAAGTTTTATGTAATAGTTTTTTAAATTTGGAAATAATACTAAAATATAATGCAAAATAGTACTTTTTAAATATTAATTTTTTTTTACTGCATTGAAGATGAAAAATTTTGTTAACTTCAAAAGTAAACTTGAAATAGATAACCATATAGACTTGGTGAAGAAACTCTATGATTGAATCAAATCAAATATGTTCAATGTGTGCTTTATAGTTTCCACGTGATAGACTTTGAAGTGATATAAATGTATAAATGTGATCACAATAAAAATATGAATTGTTTGATCATAGATGGAAATCTAATGGATTGTCATTTATTCTATCCATATCAAAATTTGATGCTTTATGTCAATTTCACTCCAATTTTATATATTTCTTACTCAACAAGCAAAAATTTTAAATCTTCTACTGTTTGCAAAGTGAACTTGTTCATGGAGGATGAGATCTAAAATTTTCACTGTTTAGAACCTCTAAGAAAATTATAATCATCTTGATTATTCAAGGCTTATCCATATATTTTAATAACCGTGTGATAAAACACAAACAGATAGATGAGATTTTTCTTATTCTTTTCACTACTCTTCACCTTCATTTGACTTCTAGATTATCCATTTTTTAAAACATAGATCATTCAGTTTTTATAAAATATTCAAGACTTTAAATGAAACCAACAGGTTCAAGATACAAATATTATTAGGTATCACAAAATTAATATAATAAAATTTTCAAGTCCTATAATTGATTCTGATGTTCACATTTTTTTGGATATAACAATTCTTGCAAAATAAAATAAAATAAAATAAAAGTATCTGTTTTAAAATTTATTTAAAAAAATATTATGCTTTTTCATCCAATTTGAACTGAAAGTAATGATGATAAAAAATCTTGTCATACAAAACACATTCACTAAACTTTAATAATAGATTAAGATATTGTATAGCAACTTATTTTTGATTTTTTAAAAAATTTAAAACTTTCGGATTCTTGCATAAAACATTTAAAATAATTCTTTAAATATGTATCACTATTAAAACATTGCTACAAAGTTACAAGTTAGGAAAGAAATATCCTAACTTGTAATTTGTAAGGTAAAATTTTCGGTCGCCCAAAATGCATACTTTTGTCATTGTTGCTGCTTGTGTTACTATCTTGTGTTATCACAACATAAGTTTTCAACAAAATATTATGAACAATATTCTACTTTTCGCTTGATACACATGCAAGTGCCAACATATTGTCTGAATGCTCCTCCAACAAATGGCTAGATCAGAAGCACTCAGTGACTTGTATTGTCATTTGATAAGCAAACCAGATAAAATTGGCCTCACGGATGTCGTGAGCCATCGAAGTCTGCATAATACATACAGGCAGTTGGATAATGTTTCATTTCTAATTCGCTCCCAATGAGTAAACACTATAAAGATTTCATCCTCAAAGCATACGCCTATGTACATTCTCAAGTTTTAGTGCATACAGTGCCGGTTTGAATATTCCAGGTATTGTATGTTTCACTTCTGACCGTATCAGAATCTTTCGTCCCTTAGAACAACTCTACCAAACATGCAGACTATTGAGTCTGGTGAATTAAACCGTGGTAAAATGTGTTCGATGCTTCTCATCAAGTAATTAACTACAAGTACTTTACTGTCTCAAAGTAAATCATAAGACGCTGACAAAGGTAAAGTATATACATGTGAATATGTAAACATGAATTCATATTTATATGAATATGTTGTGATTGAAAACATTATGGAGGCACAATAAGTCAGCCAGAAAATTGTCTAGAAAACAAATTCTGAAGTAGACATTACTTTTAGAAATGTTATATCAACTCTGCATTGTTATTTCCGAAGACCAAACAACTATTCAAACCTACGTCTATATGTTCTACACAATCATATAAATATAGTACTCGTCTTTATATGCAGACATACAACGTGCTACAATTTATACAGATATGTTCACATGATTTGATAAGCACCTGGTAATGGCGCGGTAAAACTACCACGTCCTTAGCTAGGATATATATCTCAGTGATGGCAACTTACTTACTTAGTCTAGTTACCTTAGAGATAAATCAATAATCAGTGGCCCCTCTACTTTAAGATGTCCAAGATCGGTAAACCTCGGGATGCCATGGATGTGATCAGGGAAATACCTATATGGTCTGACGTCATATTTCCCCACTGCTGGATTCCGCTCGGGAAGGAATTGATACAATCTGATCTCAGACATTTGTATTCTTAGACTTTCATCAGTAAAAAAGTTCTGAAAAAAGAACTGATGAAATCTGATCTCCGAATTCAATACTCTTGGACTCTCATCAGGCAAGAAGTGATGAGGTGTGATCTTATGTATCTCTTCTGCTGGACTCCCCTCAGGAAAGAATTGATAGGATCAGATCTCAGAATTCATTATTCTTGGACTCTCACTGGGGAAGAAATTATAAAGTGGGATCTCAGTTTCTTGAGTCGGTTGGAATGTAGATTCCATCCACTGAATGAAACTCGGTGTATAAGACTGATCAGATCCTTCACGTCTCATGGCGTACATGTGCGCCAAACGTGAGAAGGCTTTCCCGATATCTTCATCCTGGAGTTCAGTAATCAAAACATTAAATACAATGAAATTGCTTACTTGCAGCTTAATTACCTGGAAGAAAAATGTCATGCGTAATTGATATACATATCGTGATCAGAATATTTCACAAAATAATGTTTAGATACTCCATTGGAAATTAAAATTGAATGCACTACTCTAAAAAAACGAAACATTAGAATAAGAAAGAAAATGTAATTACCTGTAAGTTTTGATATCGCTGGAGGTTGTCTGAAATCCAAGTGGAGATCGAATTCGTCTGAGGCATTCCAATACTGGGATAATCCCTCATTTTTAAGTTATAATCGTAACCGCGCCCCCTCTGCAACGACGCTTCCTTTCCGGAATTAAGGATGGACCGAGCGCCCGATTTGTCGAATTCCTCCCCAATTCCCGGTCGGCGGCACCGCTTTACCTAAGCCTTTGACCAAATTTTGGTCACTTCGCCAAATCTTGGTTAGTTCAATCCAAACTAGTTTTCTTTTATATTTTATTTCTAATGGTTTTGGCAAAAGCATCTTTGGTTCACCAAACACTAAGCTTTCTGTTTCGCGACAAATTCTATTTTTTTTCCTTCCCACCTTCTCTGAAAGTCTTGATGAGTGAAACCAATTAAGGGATGAACTAAAAACACAGTTGATCAGGTTAACCATGAGGCACTTATCGGGAAACTTGAAACTTTCCCACAAATGAGAAGACAAAAAGGTTTTACCTTCATATTCAACCTCTAGTGGATTTGCGATCGAGAAACTCAAATCACTGGTTTCTTCTGCAGCATCCCTAATACGTAATGCTGGATCAAGGTCATCAATTTAAATAATGATGTCCTCTCTATCTAGCTCCATGAAAGGGACAACTGCAAGAGCCTCCTTCTCAGGATCATCCAGCGTAATACGTAATGCTGGTTCAAGGTTATCATTGTCCACAACCATATGCTCCCCATGTAGCTCCTCGAAAGGTACCACTGCAAGAGCGTCATTCTCAGAATCATCCGGCGTAGTTTTCCTCGTAGCCCTGAGCGGTAACGATTCTGTTGCTGACGAACAAGTAATGTCTTTGTGATCATGTAATGCTCTCTTGTCTAAAGAGACCCGATTTGAGTGATCTGAACAAAAGAAACAACCCTTACAATGCATTCCACTCTAGCCAAATGATGGAATTCAACTTTCACACATGCTTCTATACAATTGGAAGTAAAAACTAAAGTACGGCGTAATGACGTTACCTTTTTTTTGGGGATAAAAACTCCGGATTATAGCTCTATCATCATCATATTTCAAAGCCGTTTCGTTGTATGCTCTGTAGTCAAAGCAAACTCTTGTTGTGAGATTCACTTGCGTATCGGAGTGAGGCGAGACGCAATGTTGTACTTACAATATGTGCCTATTGTAAGTTTCAATCAGAAGAAAATGGTCGATTTGTTTTTTACCTTAAAGCTTCTTCTTCGTTATCGAACCACCCAATGAGAACATACCTGAATATCACATGACAGATTCAGAAGGTCGTTCTCATTGTAAGTACATAGAACAAATTTAATTAAACTTAAAGACTTGAAGTTTAGTTATAGGTTAAAAATTGACGTATTACTCTTAACAATTTCATCAGGAGTATTTTAAATACACACGAGACTTTTTCAATGAAACTTACTTGGGTTTAGATAAATATCTCAAGCAATACTTCACTTCCCACTTCCCATGCTCGTCAATAAGTATCCCTTTCAGCGACTTGTTCACGAGTTTACATTTGGCTTTCCGACTTGTGTCGCGCAAGTATTGTCTGTACTTAATGAAACTCATTCCCCTCATCTATTACAAACAGAGAATGCAAATTGGATTCAAAAATGACAAATATTACATGTGTCAATACAATATTGACACATATTATATACATTTGTGGCTGTCTAACTATAATGGTATATGTGACATATAACATTATAAATATACAGCCACAAACGTTGTTGACGTCTATTTGTACATATGAACAATGGAATAGGCTCCTTATGAAGGAAAGAGTACAATCCTTCGTCCATCAACGTGAGTTGATTTTCTCTTTTCTCTTCCATAACTTCTCTCAGACTGGAAGTGGCGACCAATGTAGCAAACTTCTACACGTACGTAGACCTTTGACTCTAGATAAATACAGTATATTGTACATTCGGAGGTGAAATCAGGTTTGGATTCACAAACGACCTCCACTGGACCTTGACTTCTCTAGTTTCAAAGTCAAAGTTGAACAGTTGAAAGAGAAAATGAAGAAGACAACACTCGACGATAAAAGTACAAAAGATGCAGGGGTGTAATAAACCGAGAGGGGAAGTTTGATAGCAAACCACTTTTGACTTCGAGCCATCATCATCGTATTTAACTCAAAAGGCATGTCCAATCTATGCGTATCCATGTGCGCTGTGAGGACATGCATACGTCCATCTCTGCATTTAACCCTCTTAATCATCACGTAACACTTTTGAAAGCACTATAGATGGACACCTTTCGCAAGTCTTCCTTGTAATCCTTCCGATCGAAGTTAAGTTGAGCAGTGGATGAACAAGTGAACAAAATCCCTTTATCGTACGCTCTACAACAAATCAGAACTTCAAATTAGAGATAGAAAGATTGGACGAATGGTTGATCCTACGTTTTACGACAACTCGAAACTGCGATTAAAAGGTACAAGATTTACAGCAGGCTCTCTACGGAGGACTGTGAAAGACGATCGGGGATAATGGTGAAGTCGTTCTGATGAGCGCGTACCTAGCGGCTTCAAGAGCAGAAAATGACGCACCTGCTTCACATGATGATGAGGCGCAGCCTTTAGTTATATACTCAAAGAGATACAAAAATCCTAGTCCAAAGATGCGTATAGCAACACTAAGAAATCCCTCCAAATTCACTTCAACTAGTGCTACATATGTTTGTTGCTTATAGATAAATTCACTGAAAGTTACCTAGGTAGTGTTGCTTATTCTCAAACCTGCATTAAAACAACGACAATGACATTACAAGTTGGAACCTTGTAGAGAAGAGAGGTCATCACAGAACAACGAAGTTATCTGGCAAAACTATAAACAAGAAGTGTCTTACCAAAGGTTTGCCTCCCATCGACCTGTGCGTCTGGAAAAAGTAACACCCTTGTAGGGACGAAGGTTCCGATCCACTATATTGCCGCCGGTAGCCCGCTGCTGAGCTGCTTCGGAAGTAACTAAACGTCTTCTGGCCATGGACTTTACTCACCCTTTCGAGATCGGCGTGAGAACTAGAACAGATTGTAAGTAAAGGTCAAAGTAGAAGCAAGATCCTGTGGTTGAAAAGATGTTGTGTATACCATGAAAGTCCAAGATACTCCCAGTTTTCGAGATGTAGCCAGTCAAGTAGCCAAACTCATGTTATTGTTGGAATTCTCGACGACCTCGATGAGATTTCAAATAAGCGAGGTCCCCAAGAGACTTATGCAAGCTAGTTAGCTCTTCTTCTAGATGGGGACACTCATGCCTCCACTGCCCGACACTGAGGCAATTGGACGACATTTTGACTTGACCGCTATTTTCGGTTCAATCATCAACTGGAACATCTTCGGTCATTAATTTCGACTAATGTCATGGAACTGTGGACATAACTATCATATCATCAAGCCAGTTGCTCGAATCGCGTATACTGTATGTAAGAACGTAGGGATGATTCATATGGACCATGTGCTTCATACATGTACAGAACACAGCTGTTATGCTTGTGGCTCTAGGACTGGCACTACGAAGAGAAGTGGAATGCCTGTAAAAAAGAGAGAAATATAGGAAACCGCTTTCATCTTTTCGAAAGTAAAAGGACGGCCCACAATAGAAATGTACAGAATATATATACTGCACAGGAGCATCCATCTGGATAATCAAATAATGAAGAAATTCTCTGAAAAAATTACTCAAACCGAGTACTGGAATTTCTTCCTGTTGACTGACTTTCGATTGACTACTTGTCAGTAGTCAGTCAATTCAGTCTTACGAAAGGGAGAATTTCCAGTTAGTTTTTGGAAAAATCGCGTGTACTACCCAATCCTATACTTATTGTCAGACTCGTTCTAGCATCGCCTGTTCTCACACTTGATCTCCAGGTGCTAAACTTAGTGTGATATTAGGTGACTGAGTTGCTAACAATAAATTGAACGGAGACCGAAGAGATTGCTGCGCGAGATTTGAGAAAAGTAACGGTTGGAACAAATCTCATACTAACAGTGGGACTTCCTTCTCATGATTGAAATTGGTACTGGAGAAATATTCATCACAACAATCTGAATTCTGTTTTCTCAAAGGCCCAAATTTTCTATGTTCCTGATGTACTTGACCTTGATACAAAAAACTTGATACTGACTATATCTACATCAATGCCAGTTGAATCGTGGAGCTAGCGTATATACCTCCCCGATTCAAGTGCTAAGAAAACCGCCCTTTGGAAGAAGGTTTTGAAACTTTCTGAAATTCACAGGAACGAGCCTTTTAGTCCAGAGATATTAGTGTCAGCTTATGTCAGGGGCTTGAGCATCTTTAGGCGATCCAGAGAATTAGGATACTTTTATTAGAAGTGTATTCTCTTACAATCAGGACTGGACCTACTTCTTGCTCACTGAAGTTGCATTTGAAGTGCCGACTAAATTTGATGATCTACAAGGGTAAATAAAAGCTTGTCATTGACAAAACCACAATTCATCCACATTCCATACAGAAGCTGGACATGCTTTCTGAATTTGAGTAGGTGACTAAGTGGTATTTCAGCAAAGTAAGAACTACAATAGAGAATTATTGATTTCCCTGTGGAAAGATATCCTTAATACATCGATGTTATATTATCAATTTTCCTTATGAATGTGAGCCGGGTCAACGATGACTCCAATTCGTGAAGCTCGCTAGTTCGTCTAACTCCGAAAGGCAAGACAGATGTCGGGCGCGGTGGCCCTGAATCTAGTTCCTTGGACAGTTTATCTCAACATGAGCAGCCATAGGAGGTCCGAGCCACAGCAAATTAATGCAACTTCGTTCCAAATTGATTCGTTCCAAATTGATTTGTTATATAAGAAATTCGAACATTTGCTAGCTTATTACTTGCGTTTCCTCTTCTTGTTCCTTCAAATAGAATAAAATTGTTTAAGAGTTATCTAGTTGGATTCATGCACATCCAGGTATTGTCCTGTCACTGTCAACTAAAGAACTATTATTTCTGATTTTCCTTCGCCTTAACACCCAGGCCTTTCTCAATAGCCAATGTCAGTGGCGGAAGCAAAACTTCGACCAATACACATGTGTGTATTGGTCCGAGGTCAAGCACGCATTGTATGACCAAGCACTACTCACTATGAGCAAACCGTTGTTGTGAGAAATCTCCCCATCTTGTCTGCTCGTCTAACTCCGTCAATGTCTAATGTTTGAATCTGAAGTTCACAGACAACTCTTTAGTCCAGAATTCTTTCCAGTGTTGCACATTGGCAATCCGTTGCTCCCGAAGAAAGTCGTAACATAAGTCAAGATCTTCGAAAATAACTCTCAGAAACAAAACATCTTTGAACCTTGCGAGGACCTTCGTACCTCATGCAAATCCTGGTTTTTGCTGGTGTGCCGTATTCAGAAACTTACAAACTTAAGGTGGTACAGTTTTGCGACCAGTTCTCTCAGAAGGTAACCTTTGTAAGCAACTGAAACCACCGATACCGGATGTTCACGCATTTCTCAGCGTTTGATCTAGAGTAGGTTCAAGCTTTAGAAGAGATAAAAGTTCAATGAATTGTTGGTAACGTACTGCAACAAATACGAGTTGAGGTAGATGTATTTGTCGAATGATTTGTTCAATGATTCGTAAACTTTTTAGATTCAACTGAGTGGAGGCGAGAGTCATAGAGAATAGGATATTTATATATATCTTGATCTCTGTACTAGTCATAAAGTAAACAAGTTTAGATGGCCTCTCTATGATCATTTGGCTATTGTACCATGCATCAAGAAACAACGATTGCTAGAGAGGCAGTGGATGTAGGCCACAAGCAACGTCG